GAATACCCTCAGAAGCCGTGACTGCTTTTGCAAGTTTGGGCTCCTTCGGTGCGCATTCGTCGAATGCTGAACGAGACCTACATAGGTGGCTTGGAGGCGTCTACGGAGTGACTTTGGAACCATACTTTATAAATGTCATGCTTGAAAGATCCGATTGCGACATTGATGAAGTGGAAGAAGATCCTGTGAAGGGGACGGTATCCACGCAGGTGCCTGTGCTCCTACCTCACGAGGTCTTCTCTGCGATTCATTCTTCAAGCGACTACCAGGTTCTGAGTGGGGATCAAATAAAGATGTGGTGTGTTTTCGATAAAGACGAGCAGCAAATGCTGTTGGTTACATGTGCTTCCACGTACGCGTGCGTGTGGGCAAGTATAAGAGTGTGTGTGTGTGTGTGCATGTGTTTTCATGATGTGTCATGATGTATAAACGCCTCCTTGTTCCCGCCAGTTTGGTTTGAGCATGCTGGGGCGACACTCACCGGCTGCGATCAAGGAGTTTTGGGAGCATTTGCAACGATTCGCTCCGGAGGAATTGAAGGATCATCCGGCATTGGACGGCTGCGATCTAAGCAAGATGATACCGTTGCTTATTCACTTTGACGGTGCAGAAATGTATAAAAACTCCGAGTACAACATTTGGTCGTTTTCGAGTGCATTGTCGTCATTGCTGGATGTGGATTGCCTGGAAACGCAATTCGTGTGCTGCATCCTCCCGCAAAAAGATATGCAGCAGAAGCAGGCCTGTGCTGGGTTTCTTGTCTTCATGTACGGATTGCATCATGGAAGTGCTTCAGACTGCATGCAAATATACTTTAATGCACACAAATCAAATCGCTTGCTCGAAGGTCAAGCAGTACGTGCACAAAGAAATCGCGAGGCTGATGAGTTGGTCTTTCGAAGTGATTCAGAGCGGACGGTTCCCATCGACTGGCTTCTATGGTGAAGAGTTTGCTCCTACGTCGTGCCGTGCGAATAAAGGTGGCACGGCACTGGCTGCTGAATGGAAGAATCTTGGGCTGCAGTTATGAGACATCTTCGAAGTGGCGGTGAGAATGTGCATACGTGTGTGTGTGTGTGTGGGCATGCACTTGGGGGCCGCTCTGTCTCTCTTTCTCAATCTATCTCTCTCTCACTCTCTCCCTTTCTCTCTGATGGTCTAAGGGCGTGCTTTTGTGGATTTCGTGGGGACCAGAAAGCCAGGCGGGAATGTCACTATTTCTCTCGCCGCTACAACTGCATCCTGCTGTGCGACCGATGTTGTGCAAAAGCGCCAACAGAGAAAAACATTGATGACATGAACTACAAAAACTTTTCAGCAAATGCCCCGTTCCTTCTCACGAGTATTGATCACAACATGTACCTCAACACAACTCCTGCAGCCGAACGTTCACCGTGGACGGCAATGCCAGGATGGAAGATTGAGAATACTTTCTTTGACTGGATGCATGTTGTCTTGCTGGGAGTTGCCAGGGATGTGGTTGCTGCGGCTATCAAGCTGATGGCAATGCGGGGTGTGATTTCCATGACAAATCTGCGCCAAGAGCTCAGAAGTCTTACAGCCTGGGTCAAGAAGGAGCGCAAGAGCGACACTGGGCCGCTCGGGGGGAGTGAACAAATTTTGTTTTGGGCTTGTGTAGTGTAGCTTTAATAGTTTATATAACTTCCCGTTTGAAGGGTTTCCTGCTCGTTGCCTGCATTGACACCTGCGAACACTGGGCTGGAGTCCTGGAGTGAATATCCAGAAATGGGGAGCAGCTTCAAAGCTGCACAGATGAAGGTTCTCGTGTGGGGATTGGCGAGAAAGCTCCGGATGGTGTTGCAGAACTTTCAGGACGTTCATATATAGGGCAAGCATCATGTCATCAAATATTTGTGCCCTCCCCCTGTTGCTCGCCTCTCTCGCTGTCTGTGTCTCTCTCTCTCCTGTCCGTTTCGTCTCTCACTGCACGAGGATGAGGAGTTGGTGCAAATGGCACTAGTGGTACGAGCACTCAATAAGGCCCAACACTTGCTGGACCACTCCGACTTAGTGATGACCGAGGGCGATTCTACAAGATTCAACGACCTGGTTCAACTACACTTGCGGACGTGGCAGCGGCTTGCTTTGAAGTTTGAGGCCTTGGGCATCGCTTTGTGCAAAATCCGCCCCAAGCACCACTATCTGCAACACATTGCTCTGTATGTGGCTTCGACGCGAGTGAACGTGCGAATACATCAAAACTTCAATTCAGAATCCTACATGGGCAAGATGAAAAAGATCGCTGTGAAGTGCCACTCGGCTTCTATGATGCTGCGGGTGCAACAAAGGTATGTGCTTTACCTGGCTTTAACATGGGATCGAGCAAAACGAGCATCTGCTGGGGCGGGTGCTGCACTTACTGGAAATGAAACGCTGGATGAGCTCTTGCTCTGGGACTCGCAAGACGACAACAAAAGACCCTTTCAGCAGCTCCAGCGCCGAATATGCAAAGAGACGATGCATCATGGACACTTAGACGATGCATCATGAGCATTTCGATGACGAAGCAGAGCTCCGACCCGCGAGAGCGCAAAAGCTTTCGAATGCGGTTTACGCGAAGATTTGAGGGCTTCAAAGACTTTCCACGGTGTGCAAAGCTGCTCCTGATAAGGTTGGGTTTGGGATTTTCGGTTCGGGCCCCAAAACCCCTCAACCAGAAACCCTCAAGCAGACCACCCCATGTGAACTAGATCGCCTCCAGCTAGGGCGCCATATTCGCACGAAGTTATGCATGCAATCACGGACGTTCTGTGCATGGTACAACATGGGCACTTTTATCACATTCGAATCACGAGAGAATGCATGTGTGCATCTTGGCTATATGTCGTATACTACCCATAAAAAAATCCCTCAATTTCGTGGCACATACGATACATGTGTGCACGCACGCATACATGACATACTGCACATGCGCACACCACCCTATACAAAACCCTAAGTTTGGCTCAAAGTTTGGCTCAATTGTTCATGCGTGCAGGCTTTCAAGTGTGACTTAAGTCACTCTATATATATACAGTCTGGCTCGAATGTTAATTGTA